ATCACAGAAAAATCATCTCTATAACATACGTAATTTTAATTATTTAAAAAAATGTATTTAGCTATTTTTCGTACCTTATTCGTGTTGAAGCTACAACCTAATGCCATAGGAGTTGTTTTTAAAAGGCAATCAGTTTTCCTGCCTTCTACTTAATTAGCTTTTTACCAGAGGTCAAGGGAAATACAGTAGAGCGTCGATGATCCGAAAGTCAATTATCCAAAACGTCAATTATCCGAAAGAATTCCAGTCTGCAAATTTAAATTTTTTCGCCAGTGCTGTAGCGTTGCAATCTTTGCCTACTCAAATATTTTACGTTTTTGATACTAGATTAACTTCTGAAGTATAATTTTTTATTGTTTTTATATTTTTCAATATATTTATTTTGTTTGTACAAAATAAAAAAATAATTTTTAACGATACGATAGTCTTCATTAGGCTTAACATCGACGAAAATTCAATGNAAATTTTATATAGGTGAAACTAAACGTAAAGTTAAAGTAAGATTGAAAGAACATATAGCCGATTTGAAATATCGTAGACTAAATTCTGCTTTTCATGAACACTGCCTTTTGAATAATTGTAATATAGATAAAAATAATATAGATATCTTACACAGAGAAAGAGATACATACAAAAGAAAATTCAAGGAAAGTATAGAAATAATCAAAAATCAAAATAGTATAAATAAAAATCCTAGCATCTCAATAAACGAAAACTGGTTAAAAATTTTATATTAATTGTATTCACTAGATTCAAACTATTATTATTGTGATCAATGTGCTAATTAATAATAACGATTGAACTGTTACATAAATCAACAATAACAAAAAACTGTAATGTTGTAACGGGAATCAAATAATATGTAAATTTATATTAAATGTTAATCCTGTTTACCAACCTCAAGACATTGTAATGTCATTAGTTCATATAATAATCTATAATATTAAATACTGTAATGTTAAATAAATCAACAATCATATATTGTAAAAATATAGTAGATGTCAGATATGTAAATTTATATTGTAGAAGTTATGTAAATTCGTATTATATTGTCAATGCTTATCAAAGGAAATAAGGATTTAGTAAAACAGATTTATGAGTAAAAAGCATAATCAATTGTATACCAATTTGATAATTGTTGTCTAAGGTATATTTTAGACCAAGGATTTTGTAAGACTGTTTTATAAGTAAAAGGTATAATCAATTTTGTACAGTACAACCTTAATAACAGCCGTACTCAAGGTATGCCTTAATTGAATATAGTTTTATAGATACTATAAAACTTATGTATAGTTTTATATAGATATGTTGTATACTCTCCTAATATTATAGTAGGCTACAAGAAAAAATACTGTGAATAAGCTGATGTTGCTGAAAAAATATCGAAAGTAAACTGCTACTTTAATTTATAAGACCTGTATGGATAGGTATGTTTTATTTTTTAAGAATTTTACAAAACTTGTGTATTCCTTTTTATGTGTATGTTATATCCTTTTTAAATGTTTTAGTTGACTGAAGAGGGGCTTAAGAGCTCGAAACGTGTAATTTTTTCCACACGTATCAATTAAATAAAGATGAAAAAATCCGCCAAGTGTCTTAATTTATAGCACTATATTGTGTCAGAAGCATAAACAAATAGCAAAGCACGGTTTCATATCATCATAATTTTATGATTTTAAATTAGTTTTCGATCTGGATGTTTCAATATTGCATATGTTATTGCCAATTAAATTGCAAATTGTGCGTTGCAATTTCTTACATTTGAACTTATTTAAGTATAAGATTCCTTTGTGTTTGTGTTTTTGTTAATCGGCACAAGTTGATAAGTAATTTCCAAACATATTCACAATTTCAGCAAAATTTACTTTCTCTGGCGGTAAAAAATTTAATTCGCGCATTTGGTAAAATGGTGAATAATTTGTATTTTATGACTTTAGAATAGCGAAAGGAGCTCGAAAATTTATTCAAGCATGTTGCAATGTACTGTACATCTAATAACTGGAAAGATAATTCATTATTTTTATAGAAATTTCTACTGTAAACAGCCTAAAAGTAACAGAATGGATTCTACTAATAGTAATAGTTGGCCATACAGCTNGGTAAACCAATAATCGGTTAACGAACAATTCGGATAGCGACCAAAGTCTTGGAACGTATTATGTTTGTTAACCGATCACCCACTGTATATAGAAAGAGAGAGTATAGAAAAAAAATCTAAATATAAAATTGATGAACAAATAATGAAAATAATTACATTTTAAATGAACTTATTTTGCTGTTTTTAATACAAAGAACATTAAAATGTCGGATTAGGCTCCATCACTCTCCTTATCAACTCTAAGCGGTGTTCTGCTTCTTGCACAATCGTTTGGTGCTTGTTTGTCTACTGTTTAAATCTGTTCTGCTATGTTATCTGCAACATTATTAACNGCGTATTTGGTAAAATGGTAAATAATTTGTATTGTATGACTTTGGAATAGCCAAAGGAGCTTAATTCAAGCATGTTGCAATGTACTGTACATCTAATAAATGGAAAGATAATTCATTATTTTTATAGAAATTTCTACTGTAAACAGCCTAAAAGTAACAGAATGGATTCTACTAATAGTAATAGTTGGCCATACCTCTAATACACATAGTGGTTATGATTAAATTAATGTTACGATATTCAGACCTGTCTAGAGCCCGTTTTCGTAGATGTATTTTGATGTAACTTGGTATATAGGCCTATACTATACGGACACATGGGAATTGGAAAATGCAAAAAAAATATTTAGTTCGAATTTTTATCTCTAGATGAAAAAATGACGCATGAAGAACAAGAAAGACAAAATGGAAACACGCAAACGGTTTTTATTCACAGCATTTGTTTAATGTGCAATCCACTTGCATTAGTCACGTGTTCAAAACACTTACAATGCTGTAACGCGTTTTGAACACGTGACTGATAAAAATTCGAACCAAATATTTTTTTTGCATTTTTTTTTTCCACGTTGTTCATATAACAGATATACCAAATCTCATCAAAATACATCTACGAGAACGGGCTCTAGACAGGTCTGAGTAGCGCAATTAGTCTGGAAACGGGGGACCTAATTTTTTCATTCTGTGAAAACGGGTAAAATTGGCTATAATATAATTATCTTAATCTTCACTATCGTTACTTTTTGCCCAGCAAAGCGGGTCCNAATGAACTTATTTTGCTGTTTTTAATACAAAGAACATTAAAATGTCGGATTAGGCTCCATCACTCTCCTTATCAACTCTAAGCGGTGTTCTGCTTCTTGCACAATCGTTTGGTGCTTGTTTGTCTACTGTTTAAATCTGTTCTGCTATGTTATCTGCAACATTGTTAACTTCTGTTTTGCGCTGTATTTGTATACTGATTATATCCATCTACTAATATCCATACTGTACCAAGTACTTATATCGTGTTTTGGTTTCAATGTATCCACTGCATATGTCGTACAGCTTTCTTTTCCCACCTGTTGTAATTATCGCGTAATAATCTCTTGTATATGTTTAAGTTAACCTCTGAATGTATTAGTCTGTATTTTAATTTACAATTATGTAATCACTATACTTTACTTTTCAATGTATTTTATTACCTGCAGCGAATCTTATGTTTAACATCAGTTATCAATATCTATCTATGAATTTTGTATTCGGCATTTTGTATTTTGTAACTTGTTCTATTCTAATAAATTTCCAGTGCGGCACAAAACCTCCCCTACCCCTTCTCCTTACTCTTCAACAGTTGCATCCTCTTGGCCTCTGCCACAAATCTATCTCTCATTCTTTCCTTTGATATTTTCTTTCCATCTCCTTTTAAAATTTACACCAACGAGTACGACCTTCTTCTCTTTTCTTATTGTATTGTATTGTCTTTAATACAACTATAAATTATTAGTGAAGATTAATATATTTTGATGTTCAACGTTTGGGAGATATAAATATATTTATATTATATCCTCAAAATAAAACTTATCTTTAAAAAATACTATTAGTTGTCACGTGTTATGAATGATATTTAAATTATGCAACGTGTACTTTCTACAAGTGAATTCTTTTCATAACAAATCTAACACACACATTACAGAAAGAAATCTAGCATAAAATATTAATATTATATTTTTTCACTTATCGTGGGATTATTCGTATAATAAACTTACATGAACACAAGAGAATTTGTATCGTTACTCTAAGTACAAGTAGGTAGAATTATATATTTACACACTATCTTTACTTTACGAGACACAAAAAATTTGTCATTTTATTGAGTGTTATTAAGTTAAATATTAGAATTTGTTGTTGTATTACGTTTTTTGTATAAATATTTTTGATTTATTTCAAGAATCTATAAATAAATTGGTTATCAATATACACTCTGATAAAATTTTAACAGATGGTCACACAGGAAGTATGCCGTTTAAATTAATATTCATCAAGTGACAGTCAGGAAATAAAAAAATAACAATAATATAAATTTGCGTATATTCTTATAATGTTAAAATTAATGACGTTATGGTAAAATGAAAAATTTGTTGGCAAAAATTACACCGTGAACATTAAACTTANATTGAATATAATCGTGATATAATATTAGAACAAAACAAACGTTTTCAACCCAATTTATGGGCCATCTTCAGGTTAAAATTGTTCGACTCTAATACAAAATCGAACACGTTCAAAATTAACACATTAGAACATATGTTTAAATTAAACCAATAGAACATGCTTAACCACAATAAAATAATAAATAATAAATACTAAACTAAAATATCACACAAAAAACGAAAATAAAATATAGTGATTAACCGTACACACTAAGTACCAATTATTTCTACATTATCCCAGATATCTATTGAGTCTCTGCAGGTGTATTATTACACGTGTTTTTTCTTACTATGTATTTCCACGATGAAGGTGACACTGTCGCATCCTTGTAATTTAAACATCTATCCGTTAAACTTGCCCTGTATATTTCACATTTTTCAGTTATGGACGAGAGCGTTGGTGAGTGCACCTTTGCAAAAATTTTGGCATCGTCCCATTTAATGACAGAACCTTCCGCTTGTGCCATTTTGGATAATGCTGTTACACACATATTCTTTGCGACATCGTAATTGTGTTCTTTAATTCTCACACCAAGGTTTCTGTTAGTGACCCCTATGTAGTCCTTATCAATTCCCAACTGGTCATTTTTGTATGGAATTGCATACACACCTGGCTGCTCATTATCATTCATTTTTTTTTTGTCATTTCTAATCAACCTATACACTGTGGGGGCCCTTTTGTATATTATACTGGCGTTTTTGTGTTTCGCTATTTGCTTCATAATCGGGAAGAGACATTTATTATACGTAAACTTTGCGAAGTTACCACTAGTGTCTGGTTTCTTTTTAGAGCCGCTTCTAGGCTTTACGTACGTTAAAATTAAACGCTCTATAGATATTGTTCCAAACCCTAAGTCTTTTGCAACGCTTTTGATCCTACCCAGCTCTTCCATCGTGTCGATTACATTCGAGCAATACAAAAATGCTCTTCTGACTAGCGCCCTAACGGCGGATAGCTTATAAACCGTTGAATCATTAGAAGTCGCCGGAAGTCGGGTTATGTGTGGGCTTGATTTGATTATTTTATTGTGGTTAAGCATGTTCTATTGGTTTAATTTTAACGTATGTTCTATTGGTTTAATTTTAACGTATGTTCTAATGTGTTAATTTTGAACGTGTTCGATTTTGTATTAGAGTCGAACAATTTTAACCTGAAGATGGCCCATAAATTGGGTTGAAAACGTTTGTTTTGTTTANTCATTGTTTATCAGAATTGATAATATATTTTCTATAATAAAATATATATTTTTTTCTTTTAGAGGAAACTTTGTTGCTGACATTTTTCACAAATCTATAAATATGTCAGCTTATTCTGTGGCGTTTTTCTTTGGTAATTATGCTGGAAGAGCTTATGACAAGGTTAAAAATATTTCTAAAAATATCATTTCTAATTTTAATTAACCCCCTCCCTTCCTTCCATTATGGACATCATTTATGGACAGCCCCTATGATAATTTTAATTATGTTTCATGAAACTATGATTATAAAATATTAATGATAAATCTTGTAATATATCAAAATATATTAATGATAAATTTATATTTAATATCTTATCATTGTTTTAACTTATTTGTTTCAATAGATTACTGTATGGTGTCTTCCAAATGAACAATCAATGACAGATGATGCTCTTGCTGTATCAAATAAAGTATTAAAATCATTAGAAAATATAGTAGAAATTGTATTTGAATTATCTAAATTGGGTTAGAATATTAAATGTTTTCAAATCTAAACTTTTATTGATTTCATAAATTTAATATAATTTAAAATTTTTAATTACAGATCTTGTTCCATTACATTTAGATAAAGTAAAATTTCCATCCAAACAAAATTATGGATTAATATTTTATCCAAAAGAAATTTTTTTGAATAATAAAAATCAAAGAAATTTGGAAAAATATGAAACATTATATTCAATTATGGCCTTTCAGATATCACAACAGGTATAAAATTTGAATAATGTATTTGTAATTTACTATCTGATGTACCGGTACATATAAATGAAGTGTTTGATAATTTTTATATAAAATTTCAAATTTCAATTTATTTGTTAATGCTGACATACAGTATATACCGTATTTTCCGGTGTATAAGATGACTTTTTAACCCAGGAAAATCTTCTCAAAAGTCAGGAGTTGTCTTATACGCCGGGTGTTGTCATATATGACGAGTATATCTCAAACTCTATATTTTAACTGTAAAAGTTGGGGGTCGTCTTATACACCGGAAAGTATGGTATATTGCAATCTCAGTTTTCTTTTGCTGATATACAGATCTGTATATATATATATATATTTTTTTTTACTTTTATAAAATAAAGATATAAGTTATACGGACATCATGCTTAGTACAGACCTCGTTTACTCTATCAAAAAGTAGACTAAATAAAATTTGCTGAATTTACATTAATAAATTAATTAAAGTTATATACGTAGTTGAAGTAACTCTGTATATACATATATTTTTTACTTTGACATAATATCTAAAATTACTCATGTGGGCAAGCGTGATATGTCTATATTTACTGCGCTATTCACTTTCTATTGTTTCGTGTATTCACTGAAACAATAAGCAATTATTATTATAACTGTAATTAGATTTTTTATAACAGTAAATCTAAACTTAAAATAAAACCAGCCTGTAATTTTACAGTATTTAATTCTCATATATATTATGATGTAGTTAAACAATTACTCGGGAAAAATTGCAAAACGACGAACAAAGGAACAATACACATAAAAATCGACCTCGTATTGTTCAATGATAAATTGTCCGAGTAATAATAGAAAGGTATTGAAGGTCATCATAACTTTTATTTTGAATTGTGCGAAAGTATTTGAAATGATTATTTAGTTCCGTGTTTTTGTATGTTAGAAAGAGAACAAAACTGAGAGAAAGAGAACAAATGAAAGAACAAAACTGTAATAAGTATAAAGATATTTTGTTAGCTTCTCGAATTGTTATTGTGGAAATGGGGTATTGTTAATGTTTATTTAATATTTAATAAAGAGTTTATTGATAAGAAACTTTTCGTTATTTAGAAAACTACGCATTGCATAATATTAGTACAATAGTAAATACGAGACAGAGGTCGCCTAATGAAGAGTTCATAATTGTTTATCAATGTTAACTCTGTACCAACAGCAATAACTATCGGTAATAATCCCAAAAAATTCGTCAGATAGAATAGGAATTATATTTCTAATTTCTTATAAGAAAAAAAAAAACATGAGTAAGAAAAAGGGCATCAAATGGTCGGCGTATACAAAAGAAAAATATAAGCAAATAAATTGTGTAAAAAATTGAACAATTATTTATAATGCGCCCAAAAGTGCCGACCATAAACGCTGCCAACCATTAACATTGAGTCTTACACTTAAATAGTAAATTTATACCTCCTAATGGTAAGCGGATGGAAAAAAGTCTTAAGAATCTTAATTTTAAGAAAAATAACGATTGTTTATTTAACTTAGTTACAAAACTATAAATACAATGATGTTTATTACAGTCCTGTAACAACCGTTTATATGCTTGGAACGAAAAACAATCTTCACCAAAACACTTTTGTGTAACTGCTTTCAGCGCACTAACTATAAATATTATTGTTATTTTGGATATTGAAAGTAACCTTATGTTATCGTTTTTACTTTTTCCTATCAGACGAATTGTCACGCGTAGTATTGTTGAAATATTTTTTTTTTTCTGTATTGATATTCACAACAGTTCTTAATTTTTGCATAAATAGTCCGTATATACATAGTTTTCCTTGTAAACATTTCTAGTTTGCAATGTTTGTGCAATCGTTCTGAGTCAAATAATCAAAATTAAACCACAAAAATTATAAATTAAAAGGCAATAAATAGGATATTGAGGTATAATGAATATATCTTATGAAAGTAAGTGTACAATACGAGTGCCGCTAAAACTCAAAAACGAGTCCCGGTATGATCAAAAGTAATTTATATGGTGTGGTAGCCATCTACCCTCCATCCACGAAAAAGGTTCCCGTTTTTACCTAAAGGGCGTGCTGTTGAAGATATAAGGGCTGGAGGTTTCGTTTTCTAGAAATTTCTAGAACAGTCCAGAACATTCGAGAGTATTCGAGAGCATTCCACAACATTCCAGAATGTTTCGGGATGTTCCCGAACGTTTCGGAACATTCCGGAACATCCCAGATCATTGTGGAACATTCCAGAACATACTTGAATGTTGTGGAATGTTCTGGAACATTGTGTACCATTCTAAGCCTTTTTTTGTATGCTTCGAATGGTCCACATGGTTTGTTTGCTTTATATACCACCACCAATGGGTAACCCCATTGGTGGCGGTATATAAAGCAAGATCCGTCGTGGTTTCGAACGTCAGTTTCTTATCAGTGACGAAGGGAAGAACCGAAAAAGAAGTGAAAATTCCAAAGTAGTGCAGTGAGTGAATAAAAACAAACAGTGAAGTGTGAGTAGTGAAAGTGATACAGTGACTGAATATAAATCGAAAATAAAACGTGAAAACTGTGTAAAGTGTGCTTAGTGTATTTGTTAATAAAAAGTCGAATTGATTTATATTTTATACAATGCCCAAACTTAAAAGCGGAGAAGCTCTTGCCAGTTCTGTATTTTCCTTTGAATATTATAGTTGATATGGTCGAAAATATTATTTTTAGTTGCCAAAATTGCCCTTTGAAATAGCCACTCCGAATAATAATAAGAAACGCAGAGCCCAAACGGTTAAGAGTTAAAGGTTGAAATTTGGTACACAGTTAGGGTGAGTCGTGAGAACGTACACTAAAAAGGGATTTTTCAAAATTCCACCCGCGGGAGAGAGGGAAAGGATTAAGGCTTCCCATGAACAACTCGGCTTCTATTATACTATTTTAGATGCAGTTTTTTGCGTTGTTGATTACGTTTTAATAGGGTACGTCACTACAATGTACACTAAAAGAGATTTTTCGGAATCTTCCGCGAAGGGAGTGTTGACAATGGAAGTTGTTAAGAAACAAACGAAGTGTTAAGAGAAAACGACGTGCAAGATTTACAGGCGCAGATGCGGTTTTTGCAAGAAATTGATCATGGGTGGCTTGCGTTCGCAGTCTTTTATTATAAGATTGTGTCGCAATTCTTGATTCTTTAATTCGTTCATTTCGTTGTTCTTCGGTATTGATATTACTAATTGATATGTACTCTAATCAATATATATTATAAAGGTAAGTGTACAATGTGCGTGCCGCTAAACTAAGAAGAGATTTTTCGAAATTACCTTCGCGAGGAGAGGTTAACACTTCACTAAAAATAGTAGTTCAACTACCACACAATCTCGCATCAATTCCCTGAGCGAAGCCGGGTACCCCAGCTATTAATAAAATATGATTAAACACTTGTTGCAATAGAATAGATTGCATGCGTT